TGTGAGCGGATTACATTAAATTGTCACAGATGTCACCACGTGTGCGCACACACGGCTAAGTACCGAGATGCTGCAGCACAGAGGCGCCTAAAATGTTTTTGACATCATTTAGAAACGTCATTACACAGCAAAGCTTTTTGTAGTCTGCTGGGAGGTGGGATGGGTGTTCTTACACCGGGAGTGGCGTGCTCCGACCAGTTTTTAAAGCGCCGGCACAACTGTAAAACACGCCGATTAAATTATTTTCACATGATGGTGTTATAGCATGTTTACCTTCAGGGCTCGGAGGGCTATGGCTGGTCACTTCCTCCCCGATGACAGGCCGGCTGCAGGCTGAAGGGGCGGTACACTGCCCCTTCATGCACGTACTGGGCTCGGCTCGAGCCAGAGTTTGTGCTGATGCCAAAAAGCTAAGATATTAGCTGTTTTTTTAGTTTTTTTTTAGATCTAAGAATCACCTGTGCAGAGCAGGAGAGGGTTAGCTGCTGTCCTCCCTGGAGAGAGCAAAACATGAAAAAACTCATTGTTAGCCAATCAAAGAGGGCCTGGCATACTGGGTTTCCTTCCACCTCATGTGATTGTGGGAGTATGTCATTCCTCTGGTGCTGTTTTAGTCATAGATGCGTATAGATGTGTAACACCATGTGTCAATGACAACATGTAGTGTCCCCGCCTGTCTCGCGGGAGACCGGGGTTCAAGTCCCCGACGGGTAGAAACACATGTATATATTCCACTTTGTAAGTTGCTTGTGTGTCCGCAAAATGCCCAAACAGCATTAGACATCATAAACAATGTACCCTCTTCTCTGAAGGGAATCATTCAGGGTGAAAGAATTTCAACCCCATTATTTTGGTATTTGGTCCTTCAGAGCCAATATTGTTAATGTGAAACATTTAAAAAATTTTACAAACAGCAAAACAATCTTTGCAACTATAAAAGCTTATTTATTTTTTGGGGAAAGCATCTTATCAAAAGCCCTGCTGCTTATGTGAATGAAATGGCAGGCTACTTCCAGCACACAGTTTATTCTAACACATAGAATTTTTTCCATACTTACGATTATTTCTGGCTGATACCATCCAGAAATGAAAACTCCCATGATCCTTTTAAAGCCACCAGAAGGTATGGAGCCATAGGGGGAGCCTGAAATGGTGGAGAACCAGGAGAGTAGATCTTTTGCCCATCAAGGAGGCTGGTGGAGGATTGTGGTCTGTACAGTTTGTTCACAGGCTCACTCAAAGGGAAATGTAAATATTTGCATAAAACTTTTATTGCGAGTTGGAGAATGGCCCAACTTAGCAATGATTAACTTTTGATGATGACCTCTAAATCGAGGATTTTCTTGTTTTAAAAAAAAAAAATTCTAACTCAGATTTGGCTCACTTATGCATTCTTAAGTGGCACTTCTTGGAAACAGTCGAAAAAGCGCTGATGCTTCGGGGGAAAAGGGAGAAAGCCCCACCTCGTGGGCTCCTGGCTTCCCATTGCCCCCACTGTGTATTCCAGAGTGCAGTTCAGTCCGCTGGCTGTCTTCTTGTCGAGGCTGCATTAGGAAAGATGTGAAACTCCAGTATCACTTGGTGGGCCCATCCTATTTTTTAAATATATTTTTTTTAGAACCTTGAGCTAAAATAAGCTCTATCAACTTTTATGCAATGCCAACACAGGGACTTACAGTTAGGGGACCGAAAGCAGCACTTGGCACCTGGTTTGGCCAAGTCAAGCTCCATCACAGCCATGACAAGGCAGCAAACGTTACCACTCACTTAAAAGGATGGATGGAAATTGTTGGTAATTGTAGGAAAATGGAATCACAGCATTTTATGGTGTTGTCTGATGACCATTGAGACTCAGAGGCAGCAAGGTCTGCAGGTCTGCTCACATTGGCTCAAAGTGTGTATGAAGCCGTGCAATTTTTCATTTAATAATATGTCAGGACAAGTCTTTTATATCAACAAACTGAACACCACTATAACGTTCCACAGTGACAGTGGAGGTATTGCTGGATTAGCATGTTGTGCATGTTTGGTTTTTAAATAGGATAATTTTCCTCAGGAAATTCATCACTGATGATGTGGGCAGATGTTTTGTTCTACTTTCCCAGTTTAATTCAACCAGTTGTTTTATTCTTTGGTCTGAAAAGGGCAAGTCGGACCAATATTCAGCTTTGTGCTGGTCACAAAATGCATCCGGTGGTGAAAAGCTCGAACCCAAATTCAGATCAAATGCTTGTAAAATCAGTCATCCTCATTTCCCACTTTCATTTTTTTTTCTGTGTGGGCTTCTCCTCCCAAAGTTCCTAATGTGAAGCTTTTAACCAGGAACTACTTTCTCTCTGAGGTTTTAAAAGCACCAAACATTTCCCCTTCCTGTCATCATCAATCATAATTAGGCAACAGTTTCTTCACCTTGCATCAATTTGTGCCACTGAGATCAAACAGTGGTGTTAATAAGCACCTCGATTTCTCTGTGGTTAATCTGTATCATATGCTATGAGCATTAGTCTTTCATGCCTCCAAGTCACCTTGTGTTGTATTGTTTGTCACTGAAATAAAATCCCCCAGCAGCTAAAATGGAAATATAATCTTGTGTATTCTTTGAATGCACCAATAAGCAGATAGGTATTCGGTCAAACTCGGACCTCATCGTAATCTTTATTTTGCTAATGTTCAGTGTGCCTGCTTCTTAAGTTTGGGCTCTGTCCTAATTGTCGTTGACAAGTGAACAAGCTTTAATCATCATTGTTTCAGTCACAACACAAACTGGGTCTTCAAAGGTTTCACCCTGGCGCAATTACACCAGATTACTCACACCAGCAGATTCAGGGGACCGTGGGGGGGGCTCTGTTTTCATCGTCTGTATGTTAAATAATATGTTTGAAAATGGTCTGAGTGGATGAAACACATCCCGCCATTTTAGGAAAAAGCAAAGCAGACAGTACAGAAGTCTCAATTCTGAGAAAAGCATTCATTTCAAATCTTTTTGCTTCTTCCTCAGAAGGCATCAGAATCAGAAGTTAAACATGAGGGAGGCATAAACAGAGAAGCCACAGCCCACCGATGTCTGTTTTTGTCCTGAGTCTTTTGAAAATGTTGGACAGCAATACAGAAATAATCCAGCGACCCAGTTTTGACATGAGCCAAGTCTGCAAATTGTAGAAGAAAGTTCAGGAAGGCACCATATACTGTGCTTACAAAAGACAGTCCGGTGGTTCAGCTCTTTGAAAAAGGGGGTCAGCCTTAGCTTGCCTGGAGCAAAGAGTTTTGACATAAACAGGAACAGGAAGTCTTGTCTGGATTTTAACCTGATGCAGGGAAATTCTGCATATTTATCATCATATTCGAGGGGTTGATAGATTTCTTACAGCACTATGGCTAGGATAGATGGGAAGTTTCGGGTAATCTGTCCTTCGCCATGAAAAAAAGGTGGATGACGTGAATTTACGTTGTTTAAACCAGTGTCTACGTCGTGTCTTTTTTAATATAGAAGATTAAAAAAAATAAATACATACTTTTTTCTGCTCAGTTTTGTTTGAAACTTGACGGTTTAAAAAGAAAAATGTATTGAAACTGTAAAAAAAAAGAAAACGGCTTCGAGAGGTATCTAACTACAACCGCAGACGTTCTGATTTAAGATGAATTTGGTTATCTCTCTTTAAAACGAATCGTCGTAGAAGCTCGTGACACCGCCAAACTACATAAGACAAAGAGCCAGTTCGCCATGTGGCCGTGTTTTTAATTTTCTAAGATTAAAACAAAAGACTTGAACGATACAGTAAAATCCGCTGCCAAATTTGACCGCATTATCCAAAACGTAGCAAGCCACATCACACAGTGGGAGTGCTTAAAAAGCGGTGGTGTGTCCATACCTCGGAGGTGTAACACTATAGTGTTGGGAAATT